TTTCGAACACTGGAAATATGTAATATGTATACAAATTTATAAACAATAATGTTATAAAGTTCAAAATAAGAAAGTTAAACTGTGATATAATCGAAAAGAAAGAAAGTTGCAGAAAGTCACAATCAAAAGGAATGTCAGAATAATGACAGTTGGGATAACGAAAATAATTCATTTAAAGAAATAAATATTCGCAATTACAATAAAGTAGCAATTGGCGAGAAATAAATGTTTTGAAATGGTCGCAATCTTGAGAAGTCTGAATTAAAAATAAACAATGGGAATTGTGGGCAGAAAAGTCTTGTGCAAGACAAAATTATATTGGGAGATAAACATGCAACTTAAAAAAAACTCTTTTCGGAAGTCGCAATTAAAAGATCAAGTCGATATTTGCCCTTTTACTTCAACAGGCTTTCATACTGGCCCTGGAACAGTAGCAAAATCAAATGGAGACTGGTTTCTTATTTCTTCCTTTTGCATCATAAAACATGTCAATCAACTAAAAACAACATTTTGGTAAAATTAATTAAAAGAGCAGAAAGCCAAATGCAACTTCCCTACCCTTGATCTACGTCTAATTTCTTCACTGCCACATCGATCACACCATGGCAACCATACAGGAAAACCACAGAACCACTTCATTTGGATGGTACAGCTCACCAGTGGCTTGCATGTTGGGCTCGGGCGAGACAAACCCAAAGCAATGAAAGGTTTATAGGCAATTCCACTCAAGAGCAAGCCACAGCAGAGGTCAGACTCATATCCCCATGGTAACGATGAGAAAGAGACATGAAAGCAAATCAAAGTCACGCAGCAACAGAAAACATTTTAGTCTGAATATGTTGCATGCTTAGCGTTGTCATGTCTGAAAGAGGCCGTTATGGACCCACTGAATTCATTCATGCAGCAGTTGAAATAAAAAATTAAACAGGAAGGGTGGTAGGTTACGTTTTTATTAGGTGAGCTGTCGGCAGAGCATGTCTATTCTTTCCCCCCAGTTGGTTCTCTATTTCTATTCTGAATTAGTGAAGGATAAAAGCATCACCCCCTGGCCACACCACCTTTTTGTGCCTCCTTCACTCCAATGCACCCTGGCGGCTACTTAATTGCATGTGATATAGGAAGGCCCTTTTTCTTTCAAACTTAAATAGGATTGCCTGTTCTCTACAACACTGTACAGCAGAATTGACATGGTATGGACAATGTCATCCATAGGCAGGTAAGAACAGGTTAGTTTGTGCGAGATTGCATGTGATAGCAACATTCAACGTGACTACTGGCATGTGTGTGAGAAAATGTGTAAGAATACTAGGGAGGGCTTGGGGTGGCACAATGGTGGTTGGACCCTCTGACCTCCATTGAGCTACTCCTAGGCAAAAGCTTCCAAACTCTTTCAACTTCCACTCACAAACCTGAACAAACTCCTCCAAACTCCTCCAAAGTTACCCAGTCCTGAGTTTTCAGAAGATTCCTAACACTGTCCATTCTTTGGACAAGCCAAAAACAACCACCTGTGCCTCTACACCTGTTTTACAACCAGCTACAATGTGAATGAAGATCAATAATGACTGGCTCCATTACCTTACCAATTATCATGACCCCAAGGGGTTCAAGTAACAGTCAGCGCCTAAGTCTAGAACTTATTAGCATCTCTGACTTATTTGAGAGAGCATCATTGTAAATGTGAAATATATGGTTACACCATTTGGAGTTCCTCAGATTGCCACATTGATAGAATCTTTGAGAACTCCCAGAAGTTGCCTCAAAATACAATTCATGTGCCCTAAAACCTTTCTTTTACGATAGAATTACTGGAGGAACCTTCATCATCAAGTTCTGACTAGAGGAACCACTGGTAGCCTCAAGTTCTTAAAAGGCCCCAGCAGATCTGTCCTTTGAGACATTCCCCAAATCTTGGCAATCTAGGCAACCCAAAATGGATTTGCCTACCGTGACCATGATGCAACAGATTGACACTCTTCAAACACTTGGGGGCACTATAGAGAGCTTATTCTGTTAATGTTTCTCATGAGTCTGTCTTTCCTAGAGCAGGAAGGATCATCCAAACATCATGACTGCCCCTTACAAGGAGAGATCAATAATATTCACAGTGAAATTATAAACCGTAGACCATAAAACAGGGCTATGAGCTACAGATAAGCAAGACAACACCATGCTGAAACACTGTCAACTCTCAATTACAGCTATGATATCACCCACCTTCCCTTTTAAATTACCACCTCACTTCCTGTAGGAACACTATTATTAAGCACTGATAAACAGTTACTACACAATGTAGCTCAATTTTCTCTCTCACTGCCTACCTAAACAAGACTTTATGTCCATGTGGTGGGAATGGCTGTGCAACTAACACAATGATGCTCCTCAGAGGATCCTGGGAACAGCTGGCACCGGTGGCCACCTCCACATGCTGCCATTTTTCCAGCACTTGACAGAAAGGAGCGTACATACAGGCTGTTTAATGTCCAGGAGTCTGGCAACTGTGATTTGTTTCACATAACGACAGCGAATATATGCAACTAGTTAAAAGCAAAGAGGCATTTTATAAACAGCTCAAGAGCCATGCGGTATAGTGGCACAAGGGTTCCCGCTGCTTTTGATATGAGTTGGTAAGTGAACATGAATGGCAGGGGGTTAAATACTTAACATATCCAAAGCCTTAGGAAAACTGAGAAGCCATACAGGATATTAAATCAAAGAGTATGAAATGGTCATTGACAATAAGACAAAGACTGAAATCTAAATGAAAAATTACAAAAAATATTCCCATGGTTGTTCTTCAAAACGAGCCCGAGTTCTTGCGCTCTCTCTCTCTCTCTCTCTCTCTCTCTCTCACACACACACACACACACACACACACACACACACACACACATACAGCTTAGAGTTCATGCTCTCTCATGGTCCCACTCTCACGGTACAGCTGATCCCCGGTCAAACGCTCCAAAAGACGGAACAGCTACTGAAACAATATTAGTGTTGGCAGATCCAAATCTTGAACTACAAATTATTCGCAACAGCTGCAGCGACTGTTTAGACTTTGACACAAAACCGCAGCGATCTCTAAAAGATGCGGGGATCAGGATCATGTATCTGTTTACCCAAATATGAAAATTCTGTCATTATTTACTCACCCTTAAGTCATCTCAAACATGTTTCTCATTCATTATGTGAAAAAGAGAGATGAAATATTTCTCCTTTTGTGTTCCAGTAAAGAAAGTAAATAGGAATCCAGGCTATCAAGTTCCAAAATGTTGGTCCGTTCATCAGACAAAGCTATCAAATGGCTTCTGTTGACTGTATATAGCACATGAGTTGAATGAACCACTTTTATAGTTATGATTTTGGAGCTTAACAACCCCAGCTCCACTTTCATTATGAAAAAGAGTAGCCAGGACATTCAAAATATTTCCTTTTGCAATCCACAAAACAAAGTCATACAAGTTTGAAATGACATGCAGATGAGTAATTGACAACTTTCCTTTTTGACAGTACAAAAACAGTGCATGGAAATGAAAAGCAGGCCCATATATTTAAAACGTATTGCACAGATGAAAAGCTTTAACTGACAAGTTTACGGCATGGCTCTGTTCGCAAAGAACGAACAGGTCAAGGGTATTGTCTGCTTTCTAACTTAAACAAGGGTTTGAGACCATAAACATACTTTAGTTCAGATCTCCTCAAAGACCTCAGTGCTACAACACCTAATCACATATGGCTCATGTAAATGAAAGATGGATGAAAAGCAGTTTTTGGCTACTAATGCAACCCATCAAGACTCATTTGGCAAGGTAATTTTTAACCTCACATTAAATCATTTGGCAAGGTAATTTTTAACCTCACATTAAATAAAATCCGCTTGTGCATTAAATTGATTCAACGAAAGGTAATGTCTGCATAAGCTTCATCTCCCAAATTATTTTTCAAACACTAATGAAGTTAGAGCAAAAAAAAGCAACTGATAAGTTTCTAAATTCACACTCCTTCATAATCCTGCAGTCATCACTTGTAATGACTGCCTTCATTGTAAAAAATTAACACTGGTGCTGATGTATTTGTGGTTTTCTCAAATGAATTTCAGCGTGTGAGTGAGTGATGTTGACATGGCTGATTAATGTGTGTAAATAAACATCATTCACACAACTCTGTCTTTGTGGCATTCCTGGCATCATTCTTCTGCCCCTCTCACCCTTACAGCTGTACAGTTCCCTCAGCAAACACCTCGCACTGTATACATGCCCGGCAGCAACATATTAATGCTAGACATCTAGTTCTAGTTCATTGGCAGGTCTCCCTTTTTTTGGATTACTGGAGTTGAGTGAAACTTGTGGCATGATTTCTTTAGAGTCACCTCTTGGTTTACATATGTTGCAACCTGGTCCAGGAGATGTTCGTAATGCCACATTTGTTCAAAACGAAGACAGAGTCAGCTTAATGCAGGACACAACTCATTTAAATGACCGATGCCATTTGAATGCATTAAACTTGTGTTTGCCGGCAACATGTGCAGGCTCAGACTCAATAAATTTGTGAGCGAATATAGAGGCAAATTAAAGTTTGTAAGTCGCAGTAGATCTAGCGTAGACCAAGCAATTACAATCAAATTTAAGAGAATTTATAACTGGCATAGTTTGAAGGTGATACTCAATCTATAGTAGGATGTTCCCTTCAACTTTTTAGCAAGACAGAAACAGCAGTTAAACCAAGGTTTCCGTGTCATCTTCATGTAGTCAAAATCCAATTAGATGGTTCATTAAAACTCACATAACATGGAAAAGACGTCTGTCCAGTCATTCAGAAACTACAATCTCTCATTCAGAAATCTCTCTCACTGAATTCCAAACCTGTCAGCATTTCAGCTTCACACAAGAGAACCAAATGATACAGCAAAAAAAACATTTAATACAAATAAGCTAAAAATCACAGACCCTCAGAGGAAAAACAAACTAGTTGGAGAGAGTGAGAATCAGAAGTGTTACTACCTGGATGTCAGTCTTGCTCATGGAGTTGAACTCTCTCGCTGTGGGTTGTTCACTCTTGAGCTCCTCAGAGTGTTTGTGGGGACCACACTGCTCCTGGAAGACAGCCTTCCTCCTCTAATCCGTTCTCCAATGTGATGACACACACTAACCCCAACCATCTGTTGAAACACGTCCTCCAGCACTCAGCACAGTGGTGCGTCAAGACAAACTACCCAGCCCAATCAGAGAGGGTACTGGGTGGCTCTTCCCAGGTTGGAGGCAGGGAAAAGGACATAAGGGAAACACTAGTCAGAGATGTCTAAAAACTCTAGCCACGGTAACCTGAGATTTAGAGAGAGAGGGAGGAGAGGAGAAGAGGAGGGAGGGGATTGAGAATGCGAATGAGAAAGGGAGGGAGGGAGGGCAGCACGTCTCTGAACAGTTATGTTGCCAATTGTAGCTCACAGGAATCCAATAGAAGCAGCCTGGGGATCCTCAAATCTCACTCACACATATAGTTGTAATGTATACCCTCTAAAGCTTAGAGGGAAATAAACTGCACAAAAAGTGTGTGGTCAGTTCAACAAAGTAAGTCTTGCATAGACCACAATGCACTGCCGTTTGCACTACACTGTTACATCTGCCTAACTCACACCTCCCTCTTATAAATCTTCAGCTGTCTCAGCAGCATTCCTGTCCTTCGCAATCTACTGCCTTAAGTTAAGCGAGAAAGAGATTTTCCAGAGATAAGAGACTGAGCCAGGATCATTAGCGCCATTTAGTTTATTTCATTTTAGCTATTGCCATTTTTAATGCTGTACTGGATTTAAATAGCTTCACTGTAATTTATCTGAAGCTAGACTAAATATTCAGTGTTAATAGCTTATTTTCTATCAAATATTTGCCTTAGTGACAATGGCAGATAAGAGTGTCTAAGATTAATGATAATAAAAATAATAATAATAAATGTTAATAAAACATGTCAAATTCTTAGAAATATATTCTCTTTCAGTGGTGTTTTTGTTGAAAACCAAAGTTCAACAAATGTTTACATTTAGCTTACTCTAAAAATGTGATGTTACCAGTTAAAAAAAATATTTTTTATTTTTTGCATTTTGTTTAATCTATTTTATAAATGATTAATTCATAACTAGTTTGTGTTTGTGTGTGTGTGTGTGTGTGGAGGGGGGGGGGGTATTTGTACCACATAACATTGTACAACTTGAACTAACCTTGCCTTATCAAATACTATAATACCCTAAGTCTTAACGAGATTTTGGCCTTATAAAAAGAAAGATTAAAAAAATATCCTTAATGAAGCTATTTTTCATCATTATATCAGGACAGTAAGCCCACCCAGAGATTTTTAAAGGTATTTTTTCTTATTATTTTTACATTTATTTTCAATAAATTAATTTTGAAACAGAAAGTCACTGTATATATGCACTGAGATTTGAATGTATTTTGGAATAAATTATTGGACAAAAAAAGACAAAGGAGTTATGCCATTGACCCTTTGGATCCACAAGACTATAGAAAAACAGTATGCACTTTGGTGCACACTGACAATCAAAGTCAATGATTTTATCCTCATGTTAGTAGAACGTCAACAGAAAATGGCTTGTCTTTTATTAAAATGCAGCTCAATAAACATGCTAACCCTGGCTCTCTGCTATCTTAGCAACTAAGTTCATCAGTTGAGGAAATGAAAACAAAGGCTGCTAAGTGACCTATTAGCATTCTTTAAAGCTGCTTTCACACGTGGTAAAAGTTTCAGTTAGGCCAGACCAAACTCAAACACTGATCAATCTTCACTCCTGACAAACCCCTCAAAAGCCCCAAATCAAACAAACACAGCGAGCTCGTCATCACATACCCTACTCATGTAGCCAAGGAGAAGTACGTCTTATAGGCCTATCCTTTAATACTATATCTGTTTGACCTTTCCTATGCTAATGATGCCAATCTGAGAGAGGAACTAGACTGATGACAGTTTCAGGAGAGGCTGGAAGGGTCAATAAGATCCAGCAGATGGCAAAACATGAGATTTAGCATATTCTTACAGTGGAAAGAACAAGGTGACTCAGGTCTCAGAACTGACATACATTTGTAATACTTTTTTTTTCTACTCATCGTGTAATCAAACATAGTCTTGTTTTTAAAGGGTTTCCTATGCAACCAACCACAAACTTCCAGCAAAAGCATTCATCACATCTTAACGCCATTTGCATGCTGTTTCGAGACTCATTCTGATCCATTTTCCAGCCGGCACATTCAGCGGAACTACTGGGTGAAAACAGATACTTCCATCATTTTAGCAAGATTCTCATTTTCACTGCTGTTTAAATGCTCAGGATATTAGATTAAGAGCAACAAAGGCTATTTTCATCACGGGCACAAGAAACCCCCAGTCTTGGTTCACATGAGGTTTGGAAAAAAGGGAAGAGCTCAAATTAGATTGACTGAATTCACAAAGTGTGACCCACCCCCTTTACAACTACACACTTAGTACATGCCGCACCTCAAACCCCAAAGCCAGCCCCCCAACCCCCACCTCCAAATATTTCTAAAAGCCTTTGAGGGCGAGAAGTGGCAAACAACCCTGTTCTTCAGTGGACTCACTGATCACTGACAAGAAATGTCTCTTATCGTACATGGTCTTCAAAAAGTTGTTGGGTTTCCCATTCCTTTTGTTCCCCAAGACAAAAACCACCCACCTCAGATCTCAAGGGAACTTTGAATATCTTGCTAAATATAAGTGACAACATCTTTTAGGAGTTTTTAATTAAATTAATTCGTCAGAGTCATAGTCTTGTGAGCAAACACATGTTTGAGTCCTCTCTGCGCCCCCAATGCTTTCTGTGCACTCTTGCACTGTCCTATCGAAATAAATGATAAAAGACCACATTTTTTTTTATAAATAATAAAAATGGTTAGTCTTATTGGATTTTATTATATATATATATATATATATATATATATATATAGATATATATATATATTATTATTTTTTTTTTAAATTAAATTCTTTTAAATTAATTTCTGTCTTACAAACCCCCTGCAGTTTCAATGCAAACATCTAAGTGTTTGAAAATGGCACTTGCAAAAACCTAGAGGCTTTGTAAGGGAACTGCAGGGGGTTTGTGAGATAGAAAAAAAAAATAATAATCGAACACAAAAATGCATCAAAAAATAAAATGAATAATATAATAAGACTCTGCTTTAAGGCATAAAACCTTTTCCCTTGGGTATAAAATCCATAGACTAACACACAATCATTAGAGATCTTTGGGATTTCATGTTTGAGGCCTCTAGAATAGGACACTGTGAACTGTTCTTGTGTTGAACTGTTCTAAAGACCCTGCAGGAGGTCACTTAGGCTGTCCAGAGCAAAACCAAAAAAAGCCCCCCCCTCCCAACACACAAAAGAGGAACACTGAATTAACCCCTGCAAGGACCCTCTTCCATCTACAAGCCTACATGAGGCTCACAGGTGCAGCGAGAACCTTGTGTGTGTGTATATCAGCTAGAGGGGGCCTACTTGGTTCATTTGTCTCATTCATTATGCTTGGATGAGATTTGGTGTCTTTGGGCCAAGGGGGGCAGAGAGAGAGTGCGAACAAGCTCTAAACATAAATTACATTTGTGGTGTTGTCTTCCACGGTTTCGAGTGCCAAAAGCACGCGTGCAATGCAGCCATGCTCTGGATCAAATGTTTTATAGAGTCAGCTGCCTAATGCTTTGACCTCAGCAAATAACCCCATCACTATCCTGAAATATCCACTTCTTTATCTCCAACGTGCATGAAACGGCTACGCTTAGGTGTCAAAGACAGAACACATCCCAAAGGAAAACGAGTTTTCACTTTGGATATACCAAAACTCAACAGCTATTGAAAAACATAATTGAATGCTATTCATCAGACTAGGACATCACACAGATCAAAAGGTAAACCAGTAAGCTAATTGCAGACTAATTGCACCACTTTGATTTCCCAGACAGCAGTCACCACTGCCAGGCTCGTCAGCACCGTTCTTTGAGATTCGACATCAAAGCGGGTTGCTAGTTAATGCAATTATCACTATACAGACAAGTGTCATGTGTCACTGGCTCTAATCAACCAATAACTATGGGGTGGAACCTCAATTATTGATACTTAAATCAGAGTAATTTCACTGTCAAAATGACATTAAACCACTACTTACATATTTGTCTCAATCATTTTGCGCTGAGAGCGGAGGGGGATTCATGCTTCATTGGATTGAATAATTACCAATAACAGACCTGCTACTGTAAGGAAACTTCTTTACAGCCCATCACATGTTTTAATAGCAGTTCAACTGCTTAGCTAATACTCAGCGTACTTTTATTTCTTGACAAAACAATCCCGTGTCTCAGATCAGGTGAAGCTAACTTCAAGCTAATTGCCCTCACATGTCCCAGACTGACCGCTCCGCGGATGGTTCTCTTTGCCAGAAAAATTGAGTGTGTTGTCAAGTAATTTCTTGGACGAAAGTATCTTGAAATGCCTCCAGATCCCAAGCAATAACCATTTTCAGCTTTAAGCTGAAACAACTGTCAGAAGAGAGGGTTACTTTAGTTGCTAGGCTACATAGCTGTCACATGCAATCAGGGAACGAGTGCACAGGCTACTTATTGACTATCACTTCAAATGGTGTATTGGTTTCATAGTCCCTCATTGCCCATCGAGCTTGAAACTGAATATAAAAGTAATTTCCTCTAGAGTCTTTATAAGAACCATCATCTGTATCCGCAATATGGGCCCCTCAGTCATGTTCTTCTGCACGGTTAAGTACATTAGCATTTCTTAAACATATTAGGGCAGCCAAGACATGTAAAGCAGTTTATAACATGACTTTAATCAAATAATATTGGCAAATCTGGTTTGAGCTTAACTAAATGACCCATTGAGGTTATTTTCAATAAAAATAGGGGTATACATGGCTACATGCTATAAAAATCAAACTCATGACGTATTTTTTTGGGTTAAGTCAATTGGCCATTATCTGTTCAAAATATTCTCCCTACCGCTTTGCTGTCGAGCTTTAGATCAGGTTGATTCACCTTCCAAGCCTAATTCGTGTTGACCATTGTCTTGATGAACGACGACAGTGATGATTTGGGTGAAAGGAACAGGCTGTTGCCCAGACTGTCCTGGGGTTTGTAAGCCCCTAGCACGCTTAGTAGCACTCAGGAATCCCAAGATCCCTTGGTCCCCTCAGGC